GGCAGAAGCGCCAAGGCGGCTCCCTCCACCGCCCGGGAGCCCAGCATGGCGGCCACCACCGCGGGGGCAGCCTCCGCCAAGTCTCGTCTTCAGCCTGCCGCCAGGCCGCCCCGGACTCAGAAAAACAGCGCCACGGGCCGCTGTGCTTCAGCCGCCGGGGACATGTCGCTCTCAAGCCTCCTTCTCAGCCACGGGTGCCGCCTCCCACCTCAGGAACAACCTACCCTACCGCCCAGCCCCCGGTCACAACCCTGTAGCCAATCAGCGCCCGGCCCTCATTAATTACCCACCACCTCGCCGGGAGGCGCCCTCCCACTGGCTGCCAGGCGCGGGAAGGGGCGTGGCCACACTCAGGCGCCGGCCCAACCATCAGGCACAAGAGGGAGCGCGCGCAGAGGTTTGGAGTTCGGTTGAAGCGGCGGTTTGATGCGGAAGTGGCGGAGTGCAGCACCCAAGCGGCCCCGGAATCCCGCAGATGAATAGGAAAGGTGGCCTAGGGGGGAAGGTTTAGGGTAGGGCGCACAGACACGTCGCCAATACTTCCGGTGCTCCAGATTTGGGGGACTGAATAGGCTCGAGAGGGGGCGTTACCTATTTTCCTGCCCTCCTCTTCTTTTCTCAGGGAGAGGTATAAGCATAAGCTCTAGTAAGAGAAGCAGTGAACACTCTTCCGACCTGAGACTCAGTCTTTTTCCCTGCATTAGGCAGAAAACCCATCTCCCCTAGAGAGGCCACGTGCACAGATTCTCAAGGCAAGGGTCCCACTAGGGCAAGATCCCGCCCCCACCCCTTAGCGGACTCGGGGCTCGTGGTAGCGTCCAGACGGCCGCCCAATCAGAAGGCTCCAACGCAGCGGAAACGCGTGGCCTTGATGGGGAGGGGCTCCAGGCTACTCGTGTCTCCATGGCAACAGCCTCCGGCCAGCCCCAGCTATGAAGGGGCGGGGCCGTGGCTTCCCCAGCCCTGGCAAAATGGGTCGAGGGCGGTGCCCAGTCTGGAGGTCCAGGCTTTCCCACACAGGCTTGACCCTAGCTCCCTCCTTGCTCTTTGGCAGTTCACCCAGCGCTGTCCTATTTTGGCGATCCCTGCGCTATGGTCGCTGTTCGTACTCACACCTCTCAGGTGGAGCAACTGAGACCCAGAGAGGGGCTGAGCGTGGCCCAAAGGATCAAGCCGCAAGTTTAGGGCAGAGCCAGACAAAAATCTAAACCTTACCACTAGGGTTGTCAGATTTTGCAGCTAAAATACAGGAAGCCCAGTTAAATTTGAATTTCAAATAAATGGGATATACTTACACTAAAAATAGTTCATTGCTTGTCTAAAATTCAAATTTAACTGAGCCTCTTGCATTTTATCTGACAACTCTACCTACTACCTGCTAGGCAATGAGTGTTGTGCAGCAGTGAACAAAAACACACCCAGGGTCTCACATGAGAATCACAGCCCCACGACTCAATTATGTAGTTAGAACAATGATGAGGTCGCTAAAGGAACAAAGTGGGGTACCGATACAGAGTATAGGTTGGGGGGTTAAATGCACCTGAATTCCTTCCCCAGCCCCCAAGAGCAGATCCCACAGAGGTAACCTGGAGTCTCACTTTTTCCCCCTATTTTGCAAGGATCTGGACCTGCTTCCTCCCACAGACATGTTTTCCCTCCCAAGGCCACTTTGGGGCCCTGCCCTGGGGTGTCTAATCCTCCTCTCCTCTGAAAATTGCCATCTTTGGAGGAACCTGGCAAGTCAGAGCTCAAAGAGCCCTCAGAGCAGGGGCGTGGTGCATTGGGGAACACAGGCACAAACAGGTAATGGGGGGCTTCCTCCCTCCCAGGCAGTGGACCTGCAGAGTCCACATTCTGGCCATATACTACATGGCCTCCGGGACCCCATGTTTATTTTATCCTCAAAGCAGTCTAGTCCAGGAGAAACTATTACAAAACAATTAAACTTTTGAAGAGGACTCAAAAAGCCTAACCTTAAGCCTTCTCTCAGTCCCCCAGATCCTTGGTCACCCCAGAAGGTGAAGAAGATACTTGGCTGGTCCCTCCCCCTGGACACTAGGCTCTTCAGATTACATTCCTGGCTAGGCTACGGAGGAGCCTGGCACCATTTTTGAGATTCGGATGCTTGTGGATCAGGCTACCTCTTAGGTAAAACAAAAGTTCTGAGGCTCTGGAGGCAGGATGAGTGTGGAATCTGAGTTTAACTGCCTAGGTTCCAAGCCTGGCTCCACCGTTCCATCACCATATGGCCTTGGGCAACCCCTCTGTATTTCAGTTTTCTCAGCTGTGGAAGACATAATAATAGTTCCTACTTCAAAGGGTAGATTTGAGAATTAGAGAAGGTAATGCAACCATTTGACTCAGCAATTTCAGTCCATTTTGTAACAGAAAAGAACAAATCTGACTCCATATAAGATCTGTTTCTTTGGCTTTAACCCTGTGCCCTGTTTTCTAGTCTTAGTCTTGCTAGCTCTGCACCTTTTGTAAAAAAATGTTGCCTTTAGCCTGAAATATACAGGAGAGCCTATTCTCAAGGTTCTGGCCTTTAAGGATATTAACACTTCTGCATTTATATAAAGATGACAAGTTGCAGAATAAAAATAACATTTGTTTTGTTAGAGGTTTTACAGGGGCACCATGACCTGACCCACGTGGACAGCTACAAGAACAAAGAATTCCTACAGCAAGAAGTTTGCAACAACCAACCACACCCCCTCCCCTTTTTAGTACACAAGGAGCCTGAATTCTGACTTGAGGAAGATGGTTCTCCAAGACATGAGTCTGCCATCTTCTCGGTCTGCAGGCTTTCCAAATAAAGTTGCTATTCCTTGCCCCAACACCTCGTCTCCTGATTTATTGGCCTGTGGTGCAGTGAGCAGAATGAGTTTGGACTTGGCAACAATTTCATCCAAGAGAAGTAAAAACATCATGTTCACACAAACACTTGTGCATGAAGGTTCGTGGCAACATTATTCATAATGGCCAAAAAGCGGAAGCAACCCAAATGTCCAACAACTAGTGAATGGATTTTAAAATGTTACGGTGTATCTATCCAACAGACTATTCAGCCAGAAAAAGGAATGAAGTACTGCTCCGTGCTACAACATGGATGAACCTTGAAAACATTATGCTGAGTGAAAGAAGCCAGACAGAAGGCCACAAGGTGTATTACTGCATTTATAGAAAATGTCCAGAAGAGGCAAATTTGTAGAGACAGAAAGTAGATTAGTGGTTGCCTGGGACTGGGGGAGCAAGAAGATTGAAGGATGATAACTAAAAGGTGTGGGGTGTCCTTCTGGGGATAATGAAAAATATCTCACATCGATGGTGGTAGGGTTGCACAACACTGGGAATATACTAAAACCCGTTTAATTGTACATGTTAAAAGGGTGAGTTGTATGGTGTGTGAATTATATCTAAATAAAACTGTTACCAAAGAGAAGAAGGAGGAGGAGGCAGAAGAGGAAGGGGAGGAGGAGGAAGCAAAAGAGGAGGAGGGGGAGGAGGAGGAAGGAAGGGAAGAGGGAGGGGGAGGAGGGGGAGAAGAGGAGGAGGTGATGTACATTCGAACAGATTCTATATTAGAATAGGCAGCTACTCAACCAGTTATCCTGGAATGGAAGGGTCCCTGATTCTTGCTTTTTACAGCTTGTACCTTCACCCTGCACTGTGAAAGGCTGCCAGAGTTAGGCCTTTTTCGAAAGCCCAGAACTTGTGATAAATATAATCACTGACATTGCAGCCTCCTCAGACTCCTTGCTGTGCAAGGGTACCCTGTGCCCCTTGGGGGTGATGATCACTTCTGGAGAGTGGTACCCCATTATCCTGGGGCTAGTGAAATTGGTGGTACCATTTAACAAGAGATTTCCTAACAGAAATTGGACCCCTCAATTCACCCAGCTCTTTCTCTTGTCTTATCTCATGAGATTCTTGCACTATATAAAAGGCCCATAACTTACTATCCCCACATGTAACTGAGGAAACGAGCCCACAGGGATAGGGGCTGGCAGTTTTCAAATGGGAGGCATTCTTCCTGCAAGTAGAAGTTAGTGCCTACAAAATGGGGTCTCATCAGAGAGAGTCTGGCTCAGGGGCAGTCTCCTGGGGGGCAAGAGGGGACTGAGGTGGGGGGAGTCAAGTTTCTAGGAGCTGAGGGGATATTAGGGGTGGGACTTAGGGCTGGGATGGGGGTGAGGGCAGGAAACAAAAGGGCTGGGTCCCAGCTGCCAAGCCAGACTGGAGGGCCTGACCCCAAGGCAGGATTACATCCAAAGTTGCTGACCTAGAAGAGTTCCCAAATAGCCCCAGGCCTGCTCCCGGGGCTGGCGGTCCACAGGCAGGGAGTATGAGCTCTAGGAAAGCTGAGAAGAGTGTCAGCTCCCTGGGCACCAAGCCCAGGCCATTTCTCTCCAGACAATGACAACTTGGGACTCCGGCCTCCAGTGGCTCCTGCCTGCTGTGGAAGGTCAGCCCCATCTGAGAGCCTGAGGACCCTAGAGTGGCTGCATTCCTGCTTCTTCAGCCGGGCTGGTTTTCTCCAAAAATTGCTTCAAATCTGTGGAGGAGCAGAAACTCATTCATCGCTGGTGGGAATGGTCAGCCACTTTGGAAAACAGTTTGGTAGCTTCTTACAAAACTCAATATGTTCTTACCGTGAGGTCCAGCAACTGAACTCCGGGGTATTTATCCAAAGGAGTAGAACATGCATATCCACACAAAAACCCACACACAGATGTTTAGAGCAGTTGTATTTGTAATTGCCAAAACTTGGAGGCAACCAAGATGCCCTTCGGTAGGTAAATGAATAAATAAACTATGGTACAACCAACAATGGAATATTATAGTATTATTCAGTGCTAAAAAAGAAATAAGCTATCAAACTACGGAAA